TATGGAGAACATCTTAAAATATGGAGGGATGTATTTTCTGTCTTATTTAAGACACAGTGCCAGTCCACTGAGCAGATGAAGTGTGTGGTATTATCACCCCCTGTCCTCCTGTGGGGCACATGGCTAAGGTCAGCCAAACTAAATTTAGGAGGAACATTAACACACAGGTACATGTACGCAAACACACACTCATAGATTTACTTCTTTGGCTGTGTGTGATTCTGCCTTTTCCACCGCATACAAATGAAATGTTTTCTCTTCAGCTATGCAACAACAGCTGGTCAACCATTTAAACAAATGCCTAACTAGTCTAGAATAGCCGCTCTGATCCACCTGACAGTGCTGTTCCTCTGCAGACTAAACACAATGTCAATGACATTCCTCGCATGACAGGGTGAATGGCTGTTTAACACAGCTCACTCAAACACCAAACATCATGAAGACGTGTTTTAATGCTGCAGCAGAGCACAGTAAAGATGCTTGCGTTTCTCAGCACACCTGAGACGTGTGAGAGGATCTGAGCGGTGTTTACTCTGAGATTCCTCACTGTGCTGTAAAGCCACCAGCTGCCTCAAGGATATAATGCACTAGATAACTCAAAGTGCACTAATGGCTCCTGTACAATCTCTCTCTTTCTCTCTTATATGAACAGATGCATGAATGTTTCATATCTCTGGATAGAGCTTTTATATTCTCACATCTGGATGAATTTCCATACTGATTTCCACAAATTGCGAAAATATATGACACCCTGCCAGTCACAATTTTAGACACTTGTCAGAATTTAGGTTTAAATTTGCAAAGGGTGGCAACTGTGAAAAAGCTCAAATATGCTGTAAAGATAGTTTTGATTCAATTCAAGTAAACAAGTCAAATAAGATTCCCAAACAACAAGTACCTGAGTCTGACTACTTGGGGCCAGATTCACGAAGCATTCTTAATCATAAAATTTGTTTATTTTCTTCTTAATTTCTAACTTAAAAGAATATTTTATATTCCCAAAAACTTTTCTTAAGACTGTTCTAAAGAAAAATAAAAGTCAAAGAATTTGAAGTCCTGAACAGAAAAATCATCATAAATCCCCAAAGCTAATCGCGTGTGCACACCAAAAGCAAAGCGAATATTCACATTGCATTACTTTTCCCGCTT